AGCATGAGTTTAAGCCACTGGGTCCGGGACTTGAACCATGGTTGACTATATGGAAGTCCAGTGACGTAGCCATTACACAAATTGCTGGTCCTATTTTTAAATTGATTTTATTAATTAGAGCAATTTTAGGATCACTGCAGAATTAAGTGAAAGGCACAATGATTTTCCACATTGGGCCAGCAGGTGGGCATGATGGTTAAGGTGATTTTCCAAAGACTTGGAAAAAAAAAAAAGCCAGGCACCTGTGCGTGTGCGTGCCCAAAATCCTGAGAGGAGAACGGATAAAGTATTGCAGTGTGGCCATCCTCCTGACAGTGACTTCTCACTTTCCCTCTCTCCCTCTCTCTCCCCCTCTGGTGAGCACACACACCCTATAGTAAACTAAAAAAACCACTTCCCCGTCCTCTACAGTGTCAGCGTCCCCCCAGAGCAGTGCCTTTGTCACAGCTGAGAGCACTGACCCGTCATCGCCCGAAGTCCAGGGTTCACACTCAGGTTCACTCTTGGCGTTGCACCTTCTCCACGGCAACATACAGACACGTGTTCCCGCCCTAGGGATCCTCTGGGAAGGGAGCGGAATGTGGTTGAGGCCTGACTGTGGGGCCAGCCGGCAGCGTGGTGGTTAAGTGCTGAACTCCCTCCTCAGTTCGGGCCCCAGACCTGGTAGCTTAAAACTGTCCCAGGCCCGGGGCATATTTGCCCACGATCCCAAGAGGAGAATGGCTTGAAGTGTGGCTATTCCCCCTTGGGAATGATTTCTCTCTCTAGCGAGTGCACGTGCCCTATACAAACAAAAACACACAACACATAACAAATTGGAGGTGGGAGGAAGGGGTCCAGGGAAAAAATAATTGAACAGACATAAGAAAGGAAAGCTCTCTGTCGAGGATACACCTGGTCCTATCTTTGACTTGACTGACATGCCCTGCGTGGATGCTCTGAAAACATGCTGTACGCTGTAAAGACATGCAATGATATTTCATGCAGATTAAAACAATTGTTCATGGGCCATCTCTGTGGTGCAGTGGTAATGTACTGCTCAAGAGAAATCGGATCTCACACGCTAACTGTGGTTCGAGTCCCTGGCCTGCTCGGTCTGAAACGTTCAAATGCCGGAGATCCCACAGCTGGAAGACTGGAGGAAGGTGATCACAGCGGGACCCAGCCCTTTTGAGGGTGCTCCTTTCTCCCTCTCTCTCGTTCCTGTGTGCACGCACAGACTCTATTCTGAATAAAGGAAAAAGTTTTCGGTTTATTTGAAATTCAAAAAAAATTTTTTAAGTTTATTTCACGAGAAAGGGAGGAATAAAGACAAGCACCTCTGACAGGTCTCACACCAGGATCCCTCCACCAGCCTTCCCAGCCAGCCGGGAGCAGGGGAACCTTCCCTGTGGGCCCAGTGTCGTGAGCTGCACGTAAGCCTGCACACCGAACTGGCCCTGTCCAAGTCCACCCGGCGTCTGCACATTCGCTCGCTAACCCTGGCAGCCCTGCTCTCCGAGCACACTTCCCGAGGCCACTCCGGTTTGTCGGCGTTTGATCACGGTTCTCAGGGAGGGCGCCAGGGCGCTGGGAGGCGGTGGGGGTTCAGAATGCCCGGCGGGTCGTCACTCGGGGTGGGGGAAGCTGGCACTGGAGGTGGACGCTGTTCGTCCGCGTGTTTGTGCTGTTGTTCTTCATTTCCTCAGGGGCCCCCTCACCTGCACACCCACCACCTGTGGGCCCCGCGCCCCTCACTCACCGCATCCTGGTGGGGTGCTTTCTTTCTCCTGACCAGGAGGCAGGCCAGGACCGTCCTGCCTCTTCTCCCTCCCCACGGTGAGGGGTCGAGTCCCCCAGTCCAACCATGTTTAATACATGGTCTCCTCATTCTCTAAGGTCCCATGTGTCCAGAGATGTTTTTTGGAAAAAACGGGGCCACGTGGGGGTGGGTGAAGAGGTGTGCCTTTTTCAGCCATGGCTGTGTGGCTGTGATTGACCACCAGGGGGTGCATCAGAGCCATGGAGATGGAAAAGGGATGGGAGGGTTTAAGGGGACCCTGGAGTGCCAGGGGACCAGCCACCTCGGAGAGGGTGGGTTATCTCGATGGAGGCGGCGAAGGTGAACAGAAGACAAAGGCCTTGATGCCTTTTTATGCACGTCCTTTGCCGGACACCCCTTAAAGATCGCCCTCTGAGGGGTGACAACTGTTAGGAATCGTCGTGCGTTTTTATTGAAAACGTGTTACATGCAAGTAAAGGGAGAGGGGCTAGTGTTTCAATTAACAGCTCATAAAGTTTTTAACAGTAGAGAACATAGATTCTATTTAGGGTTGGATTAAGGGTGGGTCTAGTGCAATTTAGGGTTGGATTAAGGGCCAGTCTAGTGCAGTTCTGCAATTGTAGGTGGGTTTCTATGGAATGCAGTTTTAGGAAAGCGGTTTTGGTAAGCAGAGGTGATTATTAGCTGATGCGGCGCAGCAGCCATTTTGTGATTACTGGGAATGGTGCTGAGAAAAAAATCTCAAGAATAGATATTAGTTCTTATGGATCTTAATAAAGAATGATACTTATACAGTTTTGTAGGGATTTAAAACTTAGTTTGAGGAATCCTAATATATTTATCTATTTCACTTGGAGAGGGCAGAGGTGTCCTGGGCCAGTTTTGGCCTAATCTTATTTTAGGTAAAGAAAGGATGTATTTTAAAGGGCCTTCTAAAGGTCAAGATTACTTTTGCCTAGAAAGAACTTCAGCCCACCCTCTATTGTGACCATGGAGATAAAGCATTGTAATTAATAGTAAGTGATCAGAGCAAAGGGGAGCGGTCGGGGGACTTCCTGGAAGATTTTATCGTACACTCAGGATGTATAAGAGAGCTATGTAATTATTTTATAGTAGTATATTGGGGAGCCAGAGGAGGGTCGCTTCCCAGTAAGGCTGCCACAGTTTCTGGAGCAAATAGCAAACAGCCTTGCTGACATGCTAATTGACCGAAGCTTTGTTCCAAGGTCAGGGGCGCACAACAGTGGTCTTGCCATCATGTTGATCCAACTGGAAGCGGAGCTCAAAGGTCGGGGGGCTCAGACAGATCCTGGGGCCTCACCGGGTCAGACTCCTCCATTGGAGGTTGGTGGTGTGGTGCCCAGCTGAGGACCTGGACATATTCCTCCCACCAGGCCCAAAGAGCAAGCCTGAGGAGGTCCCTGGTCAGTCCTGAGAGGTGCGTGAGAGGCCCCAGGAGGGCTAAGCTGCCTGGTAGCTGAGGGAGTGAGGCAACATGGCGAGTCCACAGGTTCTGGTGAGCTCGGACCTCAGAGAGACCTGGCAGAAGGAAACCTTGCAGACAGGAGTGTGTGTGGTGGGTGTCCGCCTGGGCTGGTCCTGGGTCACTCTGAGGTCAGGGGTTAAGCCTGACCCATGCAGAACTGGCACCACAGCCCCTCCCAGAGCATCCTGGGTAAGAGCAGGTGCTCCCCCTGCAGTGGTAGCAGGGGCGCTCCTGCAGCACGCGAGCCTTGGGGACCTTAGGAGCCCAGATGCTGGGGCTCTGTGCTGCTGTGCTGTGGTGGAAAAGCCAGGCATTGCTGAGGCAGGGGCACGGACTGCGAGGGCAGGGGTGCATGCCAGCAAGAGAAAGCCAAGGAGCAGGACAAGGTGTGGGCTACCAGGAAAAGGGACAGTAGGGTGGTTCAAGGGACCAAGAGGGGCCTGGGTCCCGGAGGGAGAGCTGGCAGCAGGTACTGACAAGTGCAGGGGGCAGCCCGAGCACAGACCCAAGGCCAGTGTCATCAGAGCTCTGGGGTCCGGAGGTTGGGAGGCACACCTCCTGGGATTTAAGTAGACCGTGAGCAGAGCACGCACACAGGAAGGTGCTCGGCCACAGCTACTGGATTTCCGCCTCCCCAGCACCCCAAGGCCCCTTGGGCGGCCGCTCTCCTGATCCTCCGAGGAGCACGCGTTTCCTGGCCTCTTGTACAAGGGCGTCTGCGTCATCCCCACGCCTGCCCATTGCTCTGTGTGAGCCCATTCTGTGTATACCCATAGTCCCTTTGGCTACGGGCCGTCACGTGGCCGTTTCCAGACTGGGAACCTTATGAAAAGTGCCGCTGGGAACTTCCTGCTCTTCTGGCACGCGGCTGAGTAGGATTGCGGGGCTCAGGGTTTGGTCACGGCCAACCTCAGGGGGTCCTGTTGCACCCCCTTGCCCATGTAAGCTCCTCAGGGCAATGGCAGGCCTTGGAGACAGAGCGGTGGGGCGGGGTGGGAGGGTGGAGGGCGTATGTCTTTAAGGAATTGTGACCCTCTGGGTCAATTTTGGAGCAGGCAGAGCGACTGTGGAGGCTGTGACAGTGAGAACGAGGACCGATGCCTGCCCCGGCTTCGGGAATGTCCCCCAGTACTCGGGAAGAGTGCGCATGGGGACAGCCAGACCACGAGCAGGCCCTTTCAGTGCCTTGCCATCGTCTATGTAGCAAGGTCTCGCACCTGCGCAGCCTGGGCTCTGCCAGCTTGAACACTGCGCCTGCAAGTCCAGGAGCCGGATTCAGGCCTTCTCCCAAGGCCGATGGGTCACTTGCTGACTCCCTTAGATTCTGCAGATCTGATGTGAGGACACCGTGTGACAATCAGCGGGAGAATCAAGGAGGCATGGACTGGCCGCTCGTGAGGCCCAATAGGCCCGTCCCTGCAGCAACCGCGTGTAACAGGCTGGCCTGGTGCCTCTCTGCCCCACTTACTGCTGGGTGCTCTGAGCAGATTATTTACCTGCCTGAGCCTCGTCTTCCTTCTCCATGGATGGATCTAATACTCGCCTGTCAAGGCTGTCATGTGGACGAAAGAGGACCCTTACCCAGGGCCCAGCACACGCCAGAGATGAGCGATAGTGCTCACAGACTTGGCCAAGCCTCTGCGGGAGCGGGTGGCTTTCTGAGCCCAGCCACTCAGTAGCAGAGCAGGGATTAGCACCCATCCCCTTTCCCCAAACCCCGAGGCCTCCCCTGTAATCCTCTCTTCCCTCTAGCAGGGCAGGGACAGGGCATGAAGCTGCCAGAGCCCTGCCCACACTGACCTGCCCGATGGGACACAGAAGGCGGAGTGGGGGATTAGACGCCTCAGCCCATCACGTGCTGCCTGACACCTGCCACGGCCGCCTCGTAGCCAGGAGTCCCAGACCTCCTGGTGCCGGCGCCGGGTGCCGGGTGACCGGCTCTGTGGGGGAACGCTAGGCCTCCTCCTCGCAGTCTTGGTGAGTAGGACCCCACCCCCCACTTTCGGACTGCTTGGAGCTTCTAGACACGGGGAGAAACGCGGGTACTGTGGGGCTTTTTTCTCTGTTTTTATTAATTTGCCAGAGGGCATGTGTGCTCATCAGAAAGACAGAGGGGGGGGAAGGAGAAGGCACCCCGGGGGGATGGATAGTCCTGCTGCAATCTCTTCTCCAGTTCTCCTTCCTGTTGGGGTTTGGGTTACTCATGTATGTGCACTCTGTGTATTTTTCGAGTAGCTGGGGCTGGGATTTGAACTGCACAGTCAGCCATGTGGGATTGACTCCCTTAACCACCAGGCCATGGGGCCAGTCCTTGTGGGGTTTCTTAAGTGTCTTTGAAGGTAGAGGGAAGAATGGCCTCCTCTGAGAACTGTGAACCTACAGGTGTCTTGGGAAAGACAAGCAGCCCAAGACAGGACACGTCTTGTGTGCCCCCCACATTGGTTCCTTCCGCAGAGATCCTCTGCAGCCCCGGACCCCTCTAGCCCCCTCCTAATGCTGTGTGTGTGGTTTGGTCGGAAGCCATCTGGGTGGACATGGAGGCTCCCTCCCTAAGGACCTGCTTTGATGAAAGGGCCCTCCTCCAGGATGGAGGGCTGGAGGCTTAGAGCTCCCAGCCACACCACCTTGCACCCAAAGGACCAGACGTGGCCCTCAGGGCAAGTAAGAGAGCCCACGTGAATAGCGGGTGGGAGGCCCGCAGCTGCATTAGGGGTGGCAGTACAGGCGCTGCACCGGGCTGCTTCAGGCTCCATGGAGCCCTGCCCACCCTCCTGAATCTCCTGGGGCTCAGAGGCACCTGGAGGGCAGTGAGAGCAGGCTCTGGAGCCTGGGGGCTGCTCTGGACGTGTCCTCCCTGTGGGGCAACATCTGCAGCCCTCGGAAACTGCCTTAGGCCAAGCCCCTGGGGATGCGCCCATGGCTCTGAGGGCTGGCTCCACCCCAGGACCAGCTGCCAAAGGGGCCAGACGCAATCCCTCTGGCCTGTCTCCAGGGCGCTCCTGGGCCGAGGAGGCTGCTTCTGGGATGAGGGCACCCCAGACCAAGAGGTGTCCTTGAGGACCTGTTTGGGCTTCCCTCCCACCCAAGGAAGGCCCCAAGTTGGCAGCCAGGATGTCCATGCAGGGCGTCCACCTCCTGAAGCCCGAGGCCCCATGCCTGTCGTCTGGGATCCCCGAGTCCCCAGGCTGCCAGCGGCGCCACACGCTCCCTGCCAGCGAGTTTCGCTGTCTCACCCCAGAGGACGCCGTCAGTGTGTTTGAGATCGAGCGTGAAGGTGAGCAGCCCCATGCAGGGCCGGAGATCATGCCACGCGGGTCCAGCCATCTTGTGGGGAGAAGGCCGAGTCTCCTGTCCGTGGATGCTGGGCCTCAGGTTGTCGTACATGTACGTCTAAGAGGGTGGGGGAAATGGCTGCCCAGAGTCCCTGGCCTTCCGGGGGAGGGGCACTGGGCGATGCACGGCGGGGACCGTGCTGTCACCTCCCATGCCTGCCACAGCCTTCATCTCTGTCTCGGGCACCTGCCCCCTGTACCTGGATGAGATCCGGCACTTCCTGACGCTGTGTCCAGAGCTGTCCCTGGGCTGGTTTGAGGAGGGCTGCCTTGCAGCCTTCATCATCGGCTCGCTCTGGGACCAGGAGAGGCTCTCTCAGGTGAGGCCAGGGAAGGGCCGAGGCACCCAGCTCCTGGGAGGCCTCGGGAAGGCAGGCCACTACCCACTTGCAGAAAGTGCAGTCAGATGGGGTAGAGAGGAGCCCCAGGGCTGGGATTTCTTCCCCCAGAACCAGGGAGCTGAGTCCAGGCCCCAGGCCCCTCCTACTCCCCCCAGGAGCAGCCAGCACTTCTGAGGTCTTCAGGAAGCTTCCTCCATGGGGCTGGGGGTGTAGCTGCCAACTTGGGGCCCTCCTTGGTGGGGAGGGATGCCTGGACCAGGGGCCCCCAGGGACACCTGCTCTTTGCCTGGGCTGCCAGCACAGGGGGGAGGTGTAACCTGGCTGGTCCCTTGCGCACCCCTAGGAGTCGCTGACGCTGCACAGGCCCGGGGGCCGCACAGCCCACCTGCACGTACTGGCTGTGCACCGCACCTTCCGACAGCAGGGCAAGGGCCCCATCCTGCTCTGGCGCTACCTGCAGCACCTGGGCGGCCAGCCAGCCGTGCGCCGCGCCACGCTCATGTGTGAGGACGCGCTGGTGCCCTTCTACGAGAGGTTCGGCTTCCACGCCGTGGGCCCGTGCGCTGTCACCGTGGGCTCGCTCACCTTCACGGAGCTCCAGTGTGCCCTGCGGGGCCACGCCTTCCTGCGTAGGAACAGCGGCTGCTGAACAGGAGGCCCCCCTGGGGTCCCCTCCTCGGCCCTGGGCTCACAGTGGAGAAGGGATGGGCAAATAAAGAGAGCCGGCTTCTTCCAGCCCGGCTGCTCCAACTGTGGAGTGGTGCGTCCTCTGTGATCCACCTGGCCCTCCCGTGTTCCAGCCAAACTCCGCACTGTCTCAGGGAGCCCCTTTCAGCTCCCAGCCCTGAATTGGGGGGCAGCTGGGAGCAGGATGGGGGGAGACGAGGCCGTAGGAGGGTGGCAGCCTTGGGGCAGGGAAGGCAGTGCAGGGGTCCGCCCACTGCTCACCCAGCAGGCACCCGTGTGCCCACCTGTCTCCCCAGGCAGGCCCTGCCCTCCCCCACCCCCACCCATGCTTCTGCCCACAATACAGACCTTCATACCCCACGGCCTCCCTGGTGCCCCTCAGTGCAGTGTGGAGGGTCGTGGTGAGGCCCAGGAGCAATGAGACACGTCCCCTGCTAAAGTGACGAAGGCTGAACCTTCTCCCAGCACCAGCTCTGGGTGGGCCACTCCCCACCGCCCCCTCACTGCCCAGAACAAAGGCAGAGCAGGCAGGGATGGGGTCGCAGGATTCAACCACCCTCTTAGGGACCCGAGGTCTGCCGACAGGCTACGCAAGCTCTCGGGGTCAGAAACGACACACTCTTCCCTAGACAGCCCCATTTAATACAGATGAGACGTCACCCACATGAGTTAGCGTTCCTTTGAGAAACTGAGAACAATATAAACCGGTACAGATCTGGCCTGAGCCAGCCAAGCATCCAAGAGCTGGTACTCAGGGTGCCTGAGGCCCTGTCCCACTTGGGTGGGAGAGGCAGAGTGGGTAGGGCCAGCCCCAGCCAGCCATGAGGCAGAACACGGGCACCGGAGGGAAGGCGGGCGGTGGGCCGCAGCCTCTGCTCGCTGCACAGCTCCAGGTGGCCCACACTAGTCCCAGTTCCTTACTTGTTCTGTCCTCTCCCACAATGTCCTGTCTGGGGCCTCGGGGCAGGCTCACGAGGTCATGGGTGGACGCAGGGTGGGTACAGAGGGCAGAGGGGAGGGGAAACGGAAGGGGGCCCGTGGTTCGTGGTGGCCCCAGCCCTGGGGGCAGCTGTGTTCCTTGCACAGACACGCTCACAGTAACACGGGAGAGAAGGCACGAGCTGAGGTGGCCCCGGCAACTGGGGAAGGGGACCCAAGCCTTGGGAAGCAGGTGCTCCGGGTGTCCCAAGCCTGAGCCAGGAGCCCACAGGCCTGAGGAAGGAGGCCCCTCCCCTGAGGAGCCAGCCTTTCTGGGTCGCCTGGCACGAGGCTGCCGAGACTCGGGGAGGGACCACCTGG